CAAAGTATATTAATTTGATATAAAAACAAAAAGACCTAGAATTGTAAAGATCTAGGGATAAATTATCGACTTTGTACAACTCACCAAAGCTCTTTACACCTCAGTTTGCAAAAATCAGGATTCCACATGCCCTACTTATTTCATGGAATTTTCTTAAGAAACACATAAAATAAAAATGCATAAACCATAAAGTGCTATTAAATTATATGACTATTTAACTTCTTCAAGTCATACAATACAAATAAATGATCTATTCTACTAGACAGGTACTTCTGTGACTAGAAAAGTTTACCTCAAATAAATGAGCATCATAATCTCAGTTGCTCACCTCATTTGGCTCATCAGAAATGACTATGATAGTACTAGAGATATAAAAATAGAAGAAAAATTCAGCTTCCAAAACTGTTATAGTTTGTATTATCTTGAATCTACTGCAAGTTTTTGGTAGTCTCAGAGTTTGTCCCTATAGTTAACCCTTCACCTCACCTCCAATTCAGCTTATAAATAGTAGCAAGTGAAGGAATAAGCTTAGCAGACGAACTGATTCATTACACTGTTATATTAACAAAAGAAATAATTAAGAGCAGAATCTGAGGCTTGCATTCATGAACATATGATGGGCTACACTCTATTATGCTTTCTATGTATAAAACAACTCAGTAAGTACAATGCATATTACCCATAATCACTTCTTTTCACTTCATTTCTTCATAGTTAAAAGGTCATAAACCTCACAGAAAAAGCTGGAATAGCATTAGATGTTATTTAGAATATAAAAAGAAACAGACCTAGAATCAAGAGGATCTGGGTGTAAATTATTGACTTTGTGCAACTCACCAAAGCTCTTTAAGCCCCAGTTCGCAAAAATCAAGATTCCACATGCCCTCCTTAATTTCATGGAGTTTTCTTAAGGAATAGTTTGCTGTTTTTTCCAAATTAACGATTTTCACTGCTGAATTATATTTCATATTAGATAGGACATTTCACTGAATTTATATCCTTTTTCATTTTTGTGATCCTACACCCTAATTATTCCTCAAAAGACTGGTAGAGGGGAGTAAGGAGATAGAAGCAAAAATGAAGAGAAGGTTGAACTTTTAAGCAGACTAGAGCCTTAGGAGGAGGAGCTGAAGTAAGTCCCACAAAGTGAAGCCACTTGGGAAAGATGAGAAGTGTTTGCTTAAGGGAGAGCTGGCATCCAATTTGTGCCCAACTCTAAGTTAGCCTCATCCTTTATATTAACAAGGAATGATGGTTAAACAAGGTATACAGATATCCTTTGGAAGGGTGTTTCTGAGGAGAGAATGAATAGCTATATGCTAAAGAGTGGTTCTCAAACTTTAGCCTGCATTAGAATTACCTGGAGGACATGCTGAAATGCTGATTGCTGGGCCCCCACCTCCAAAACTTTCAGATTCAGGTATGGGATTGGGTCTATGAATCTGCATTTTTAACAAAGTCCTAGGACCTGGGGTGAGGCTGCTGGTCCATAGACTATGCTAAACTACTGTACTGCATTAAAATACCAAAGGAAGAAATGAACAACGTAAAAATTACACATTCTCCCTCTCTACTCCCCCAAGGAATCCATTACTCTGTAGCTATAGTCTTTTTGCAGCTACAAATTTTCCTTGGTATTTTTTCTGCTAATGCTCAGCATTGTTTTCAATAAAATACTTCACTTTGCACTGCTTATATCCTTGCTGAACACATCAAGAGAGTGTGGGGTGCAGGGAGGAAGAGAGTGAATAACCCATGAAGTAAAAGTGATGGCAGAAGACCTTCATAGGAAAAAAAAAGGGGCCAGACTGGCATTCTCTAGAAGCAGTGATGTCTAAATCGGACTGCATCATAATTACGGTAGGTTATAAAAATAGATTCCTGAACTCCACATATTAAATCAGAACCTGCATGTGATACACAGAAATCTATATTTTTGGGGACGTCCCTAGTGGCGCAGTGGTTAAGAATCTGCCTGCCAATGCAGGGGACAAGGGTTTGAGCCTTGGTCCAGGAAGATACCACGTACCGCAGAGCAACTAAGCCCGTGCGCCACAACTACTGAGCCTGCGCTCTAGAGCCCACAAGCCACAACTACTGAGCCCACATGCCACAACTACTGAAGCCTGCGCACCTAGAGCCTGTGCTCCGCAACAAGAGAAGCCAGCACAATGAGAAGCTTAAGCACTGCAGCGAAGAGTAGTCCCTGCTCGCCGCAACTAGAGAAAGCCCGTGTGCAGCAACGAAGACCCAACACAGCCAAAAATAAATAAATAAATAAATAAATAAATAAATATAATAAAAAAAAAGATAACATAAAAAAAAGAAGAAAAGAAATCTGTATTTTTAAACAAGCTACCCAAGCAATTAGTGATGTCAATTCAGAGCTGCTCCTTTAAGCCATCTGAAATCCAGGTTCTGGGCTAAGCTATGAGCCAAAGGCTGCTGGGAAGGGGGCTCTTCAGTCGCATAAAAAGGGCATAACCCAAGGATGTGCACAGCTGAACAATCTTTTAACCTAGTTAACCCCAGAGTTATCCTGACAAGGCTAATTTTATAAGGGCCCACAGAAGAATGAACCATAGAAATGAGATAAAAAGATTTACTGAATACATTACCTGGTAATTTTTAAAAGCTGAAAAGGAAAATTTAATGGCATGATCAAAGGACGAAATGATTATCTCACCTTGGAAAACGAAATAAAAATCATACTAAGTATACACTGTTGTGAATTTTATGTAAAATCAGGCAAATTATCATTAAGATCTGGCCACAAAAATATTTTGATGATTCATATAGAACTTTTCTCTCTAATTAGGACTAAGAATTATTCCGAATTATGTTTTTTATATTGACTAACAAAAAGTTAAAAAAAAAATTAGAACCACTCCACCAGGGCCTTAAGAGTAATTTAGCCTATGAAAAGTAGGCTTCCTGGCTTCTAATCTACATCTTGAGGAATGAAGTAGGGAGGAACAAACTGCTTTAGATGAGAGCAAGAAATCAGCACCAAAAGAGGACTGATTCCTGTGGCAAAAACTGCTAGGGAGTCTATGTTGTTTGCTGTTTCCTAGAAAAAAGAGACCCTTTCTGCGCCTTTGATTCCCCTGTTGAAGAAGCAATGGAAGATAGAGGCAAGTGTAATCAATTATAATCCAAGAGAAGACACCAGTATCACAAGCATCGTGATAAAAAAATTCTAGGCCATGAGAATATATGACTTTATGACTAGAAATGGGAGAATAAGGGAAATTGGTGACTTGTGCTCTTTTCTTTGGTTCTAAATAAGCTTTAATGCCCCTCTCTATTTGTCTTTTAAATCAATCCATGTGGGTGAGGAAATTTTAGAAAGATCATTTTTAATGCAGCTAATCGGTTCACTGGTTACCTGGAATAAATATTTCCCACAAATAAATCAAAACACCCCATGTTTGTCAAAACATCATGCCCACTGAAGGAGCACCTTATATTCACAAGTTTTTTTAGGACAAGCTACTTTCCTGAATAAACTGAAGGTAACAACTTTTGGACAACAGTAGCCAGTCATATGTTAATGGCTCTTAAATTATGGTGTTTTTTTTCTGTGTGATGTTTTCTAATAGAAAGGAAAAGCCTATAGAAGCTAACAAAGAAAGAATTAAATACACTTATAAAATTAAAACACAGAATTTTCCCTAAGAAGTTTTCTTCTTATTCCCCATGTTTGAATTTTCCCCATCAAAATTTCCCCAAAATTTCAGATGAAGCATAAAAGAAAGTTTACACAAAGAATCTAACATCACTTGCCAGCTATGTGACCTTATCAGGCTTATCAGGACCTCAGTTCTTCCATTTGCAAAAAGAGACGCTAAAAGTAAGTGGTTCTTCCCTCTCAAACCTCAGTCTAACACCCAAATGATGCTCTATATCCAGTTCGTAACATTTTTAAGTGCATATAAGTTTATGACAGAAACTAGCAGTTACCACCCAATATTCATTCTTCCTTTCTTTCTTAGTAAAGAGACATTATTTGGGATGGCAATGTATCATGTAAAGGGCTATACATCCCAGATTCCCTTGTAGCTATACGAAGCCATGTGATTAAATTCTGGCCAGTGAAATGTAGGTAGAAGTGTTCTAAGTGTTGTAACAAACTTGAGAAGGATGAAAGAAAGACTTGGCTGAAAAAAACAGCCTTTTGCCATTCCTATGGACTGGAACACAGGTGAGACGGAAGGAGCTCCAGCAGCATCTTGAGATACTGAGAATGGAAGCAATGTCCTCAACAGGGATGCATGTTGCACAACTCTGGCAAGTACTGTTTACATGCATTCTATATAACTCGCCTCCTGAAGCTGTAGCGCTCCACTTTGAAAGACGATGGAGGAAAAAGATAGGAACCTGATGATGCCATGAAGCCACCATAACCAGCTCTAGACCTTTTTGAAGCGAAAAAGCAGTAAATTTCTCCTTGTTTAAAAGTTACTTCCAGTCTCAGGACTTCCCTGGTGGTGCAGTGGTTTAGACTCCGCGCTCACAATACAGAGGGCCTGGGTTCAATCCCTGGTCAGGTAACTAGACCCCACATGCATGCTGCAACTAAGAGTTCTCATGCCGCAACAAAGAAGCCCGCCAGCCACAACAAAGGAGCCCACCTGCCACAACTAAGACCTGGTGCAACCAAATAAATAAATAAAATAAATTTTTAAAAATAAAATAAAAGTTACCTCCAGTCTCTGTTACAATTAGCTGAACCTAGAGCAGGATCCAGGCTTTGTGGGGATGCAAAGTAAGTAAAAGCAACATGATATATTACTGTCCCTAAATTACTAAGCAGAGATTAGCAGTATTTCTCTATATTACGTGAGAAGATTTTTTTAATTGTTTAAAAAGCCCTTTTATTATTTTTCTGTCCATATTGTAACCTGAAATTTATTTCAATCAAAGTTAAATCTAGTAAACTTCTTAAAATTTAAAAATGCTTTAAAACACTTAGAAAACTACAAAAAGGATCACATTACCTTCACTCAGTAATTTAGCTGTGTCTAGGTCTTGGAAAGAAACTCCTTCACTTAACTGGATGGGACACCGAAAATTCAGCATCTGTAGCAAATAACTGATTCCATCAACAAGGTACTAAATGAAAGTCAAAGACAAAGAATACAAGTATTAGATGCAGAGTTGTAGAAACTTCAAATGTTAATATTTTTACTCAAGAGAATATTGGCTAATATACAGATATGTCATATGATTATTACATTACAATATAAGGACTTATTACCCCAAAACTTTTATAAGTATAACCCTCCAATTAGTGAAAGAGTATGGGAAAAAAAGAGAAATCATTAACCGAGAACACATGATTCAGTAATATACTTGTCAAAAATGTCATCAGAGCAAGAAGAGGTTAAAGATAATAAAGATGTGTTCAAAAATTTGTTAAAAATATGGATGTACTTTATTACAATTTAGAAATATTATGATCAAACTTTTACATCTGAAAGTGTGACCTCTCATTTGCAGGCCCACATAAACCATGTGTACAATCAACCTAAGTTAGGAAGGATCCTTAGTGATACAAATATTAAGACAGGATCTTTGGATTTACTGATTTGGTCAGAAGAGTCAAGAAAAATCAGAGGGCCACAATTTCCTAGGAGCAGGGTCATGTGGGATCTTTAGGTGTGATCTGCTGATAGAGAGAGGCTCACAACCAAGTTTGTTTTCTTCAGGCCAAAAATATGCTTAGAAATTAATATAGATTATCTATCTTGTACGATAAAAAATAAAAATCCAGAACTCAAAAAAAAACATATAAAACTTCCCAGTTTACAGAGGGCTTTTACATGTTATCTTATTTAATCTTCACAGTAATTCTAATTTGTTTAAGATTACACAGCTGGTAAGTACAGGCCTGGAATGCCAACCCAGGCCCTTTGATTCCTCTACTCTTAATCCTGTACTGAACAGCTTTTGGAAACCTATAAATGTCAACAGTAAAAAAGGTATGAGGAATGCTTTTTCACCTTTTTAAGCAAGCTAGATTTTCTTGTGAGCCATTCTCCCTTTTTGGTCATAGAATGACAATACATGTAGAGTAGGGCTCCTCGTCTCCAAGAGAGACATTCCAGGAGTTCATCCCCAAGCAAATCGCAGTGCTGAAATACAACAAAGACACAGCTAAAAAGAGAAACTTCGTGTCTGTAAAAATCAAAATTAAATTTCAAAATACTGAGCAATTAAAAAATACTCATTTCACAAAATTTGCTCTTTACTTAGCAACCTACACAGGAATTCCTTACTCTGAATCAATTAGAAATATAGAAATCTATTGCTACGCAAAAATTAAAATAACTACTCCAATTTACAAATACTTCTAGAAAATTGATGTTCAAGTATTTTAGTAGCCAATTCTCTAATATATTTGAAATATAAGTATTCCATAATCTGACTGAAAATATAAGTTTTCAGAAATATATGTTACTTGAAACAATTTCTACTACTGCTAAAATAAAACAATGAAAAGATATACACAAAAACAATTTTAATAAATCAAACTTTTACTATGTGGTATCATTTAAAACTTGGGATTATTTGTTTCCACAGTTAGCATTCCCTGATAAATACAAAGAGCAACAAAGATAACTACGTAGAGAAAGCCAGTGGACAGTTCAAGATGAGAAATTATTTGCTTGAAAGAGTAGCCAGGGCTAGAGACAAAAATCTTGGAATCATCTAAACAGAGACAGCAGTAAAAACAAGTTGTCAAGCAAAGACAAACTACAGACTATCAGAGGATTAAGGAGATATCTTTGGGGAGTGCCTATGTTTCCAGAATGGAAGAGAGGGGAGATGCTTGAAAAAGAGCAAGAGCAAGGCTTCTTAGAGATGAAGAGGAGCATGCAGGGCCTCCAAGGGATGGGGTGATCATTGGTAAGAAAGGCAACAAATGTCTAGGCAGAAGAAGACTGAAAGGACGAGAGATGTGGTATTAGGTTACTAGGGACCTTCAAGAAAACACAGCATCTGTAAAAGTAAAGGGAGCAGAAACAGCAAATGCATATGTTTAGAAAATTACTAGGCACTGTAGTTACAATATAATTCCATCAAACAAACATTCTGAAACATATTTACAAAAATATGATACTTGAGTTGTGACATCAGTCTGAAATGTTCAACTCTTATGTCCCTCCTTCAATCTTAATTTAAAACAAAGATACATTTAAGAAAAAAAAAATACAGATTCTAAAGGGTAATATAGCAGTAATCAGCAGCATTCCACCATAATTCATAGTTGTGCAAAACTTACTTTTGGATGCATATTATTTTCTTTAACCAAAATTTCTGGTTCTGAAAGAAAATTGATCAACTCTTTTACTTTTTGTGAAGAATCTTCAGGAAAATCTTCATCTACTAGCTTGTTCTCCTCAAAATATGTCATGTCCAAAATAGCCTGAAGTAAAAGAGAAAAAAAAGTATAAATGATTTCAACTCGAATGAATAATTCTTATAGTTTAATCTTACATATATACTTTATTAGACATTTAAATCTTCTAGCACAGTATTTAAATTTAAGTAGTCAAAATATCTAGCTATAAATATAATCTAAGATGAACTTTATAGTAAACTTCATAGGATTTTACTAAAATACTGAATTAAGATAATCTAGTTTCCCTCAAAAAGTAAAATGGGTATTTATGTTTTAATTCAGGTAAGCTAACTATATACAATATAATTATGAAAAGTGTGATTATTATAGTCTTTGCTATTTGTACATATATACTTCCTGAACATTTTCTAAATGCCTGCCATATAAAGACAAGGTCACTACCTCTAGTTTTGTATACTGAATCTTCAAAGGATTACCTGTTTCTCAAATGAAGCACCAGCACTTTAAAACTACCCAATCCTTTTTCTTTGTTTAATCTACTGGACTAAGACTAAGGAAACTGAGTTCTAACAAAGGACAAGTCACAGTTTATCTTTTTTTTGGAGCCAGTTTCTTCATTGACAAAATGAAGAAACTGATCCAAATGCCTTTCAAAGTCCCTTGCTTTGAGGGTAAAATGAATTAACATATGTAAACACTTCCAACATTACCTAGCACACGGCACTACTTAAGTGTTAAGTGCTCTTGTGTAGTAGGCCTAAGCCAGGAAGGGAGAGATCATCATCCTAAGGAAAATGACCTGTTGATTCAGAACCATAAGTAAGATCCAAAGAGGTTTGGGGAATTTTAATCTACATTTCTAATTCTTTTGCCTTATTCTTAGAAATAAGTTAAAATGTTTAGAACTCTCCCAGGTGAAAGAAACAAGGCAAGCAAGGAACCTTCTGAAATAAGAGTCAGGCAAATTTCTCCAAAATTATAACAGCTCTCGGGGGTTTGTGGGTAGTTGTTACAGGCTCATTCAACCACATTGGAAGGCAGAAAGCATCTCCACGTACCTCCTAACAGAAAGCAGAGTGTCAGGAACCTAAGTGCTATGAATGTGTAGTTTGGAAACTTGACTAAGTTTACTCTATTTCCTATAAACCACTTCATCTTTATTATCCCTTGGCAATCAAGTAAGGGCATACGAAGCACTCTGTCAACTATAAAGTGCTATACAAATGTTAGTTACTATAATAAAATTATGTTTGTTTGTTTTTTGCTGCACTGCACAGCCTGCGGGATCTTAGTTCCCTGACCAGGGATTGAACCCATGCCCCTTGCAATGGAAGCACGGAGCCTTAACCGCTGGACCGCCAGGGAAGTCCCTCAAAATTATGTTTCTTAGTGTCCACTTGCCTCAGCAGTGCTTGAGAAAACTGAGAAACAGATCTTATCTGTAGAAAGGTCTGAATTTGAAAGGAAAGTAAAAAAGGGGGGGAACAGAAAAATCTTATGGACTTGCATAACAAAAGCACAGGTAGTCAAGTTGAGAATCCAAAGGAAAGGTGAATTTCACGGAAAAAAAAATAATCAGAGCCCTTATAGAAACCTCCAATCCCTCTGACTAACCTTTCACACCTTGGGAATTGCACATTTGTGTGTTTTTTTGTTTTGTTTTGTTTTAATTAATTAATTTATTTTTGGCCGTGTTGGGTCTTCGCTTCTGTGCGAGGGCTTTCTCTAGTTGTGGCAAGTGGGGGCCCCTCTTCATCGCGGTGCGCGGGCCTCTCACTATCGTGGCCTCTCTTGTTGTGGAGCACAGGCTCCAGACGCGCAGGCTCAGTACTTGTGGCTCATGGGCCTAGTTGCTCCGCGGCATGTGGGATCTTCCCAGACCAGGGCTCGAACCCATGTGCCCTGCATTAGCAGGCAGATTCTCAACCACTGTGCCACCAGGGAAGCCCCATTTGAGAGTTTTGCTTAATTATCTATAAAGGGAAGCAATACTGTTATCTGCAAGATTTTTTTCCTTTTTTATCAACACATCCAATAAACTTTTCTTCTTTGTAAGGATACTTACTGCCTTACAGCTTCAAGTCTGTATGCTTTATACATACAGTTTTTTTTAACACAAACACTTTAAATAGAGAATAAACTGCTTTCATCACACCTCAATTTTGGAGTAACCCTCTTAAATAAGCAAACTGCCTCAACAACGTCAGAAACCACATCTGTTTCAGTACCTGTGTGTAAAGTTCAAGAAGATTTGATGGATTTGAACATTCTTTGTCTTCTCCACACAGAAGTTTCAATTTTTCTAGAGCTGCAGAGGCCCGAATTAAAAAGTGATCTATAAGAGATAAAAACATGATTACTGGAGCAGCATGGGGTCATCATGGCACAGCTGCAGCAGCTCCAGGTGCAGGAGGTGGTGGACTCTATGGTGAAGAGTCTGGAGAGACAGAACATCCGGAAGATGCAGGGCCTCATTTTCCGGCGCAGCGCCGGCTATTGTGAGGACAGCCAGGCGTCCATGCAGCAAGTGTACCAGTGCAATGAGCACTGCCGTGCACCTCTGGCTCAAGCCCAGGCCCTGGTGACCAGCGAGCTAGAGAAGTTCCAGGACCGCCTGGCCCAGTGCACTATGCATTGCAACGACAAACCCAAAGATTCAATAGATGCGGGGAGTAAAGAGCTTCAGGTGAAGCGGTAGCTGGAGAGTTGCGTGACCAGGTGTGTGGATGACCACATAAACCTCATCCCAACCGTGACCAAGATGAAGGAGTCTCTCTCATCCATTGGGAAATAGATGTCTGCTATTGGCCATCGGGGCTGAAGGCAGGAATCTATTTAAAAAGAGGAATGGGGATTTGGGTTTTCTAAAGTTTATGAATGAGGAAATTAAGGATGGCAGCAAGTTTAAGGCCTATGTCACTTGCCTCTGGACACTGGTTCCTTTGTGTTTGAATCCTAGAAAGTGAAAAAACCTGGTGCTAAAATTTGGGTCAGAGATAGCACAGGAGAGTTTTTGTGAGCCTGAATTTCATGTGGCAAGTGCTTATCCTGGCAACAGGGAGTCTCCCTTGTACCAAACCACAGCACTCCAAGGTACCAGATTCTCTTAGTACACAGATATCAACAGGCTGGCAGGTTCATCTGATCTGCTTATGAGCTGGTGGAGTGTGAGGAGAGGTGTTTCTGCTTGTTGCCAACCTCCTGTTTACCAGAAGGATCACTACAACATTTTCCACAAACTGGAAATAAAACAAAATCCATGAGGTCACTAATTTAGAAGGGGAAAGGGGGGCTTCTGGGGATTTGTTTTGCTTGGTTTTGTTTTATATACAAGGGCATGAAGTTACTTTAAGATGTAGAGTTGGGAGAGGTATTTTGGATAAAAACTTTGAAAGGGTCCTTGCGGATATTCATTTCTGGCCATCAAGATGTGGATGCACATTTCTTAAAATTCTCACACATTACATCTTTCAGCCTGGAGACTCTGCAAAAATATAAGAAGCACTATCAAAGCAAACCTTCCCTCTAACTGGCAGCCATAATGGGCCCTGAGGGTGTCTGCAGCAGAGTCAGCTGAGTGACAAGACAATCTTGCAGTGATACTCACCCTTGAAGGGAAAGGGGATTTTGATTGTGCTATATGCTAGTATTCAGGAATGAACAGCAAAAGAGGAATTGTTAGCTGCATAATTAAGAGAGTTATGAAGTACTGGCCTTGGAAAAATCTTGTTTTCATAAAACATAACAGAATGAAAGCCTAAACCCAGTATTGCTTACTTTGCCCCCTGGAATAACAGAGCTCTTGGCAACACGAAGGTCAAAGGAGAAAAAATAAGCAACTCGGGCGAGCTGTGACTCCTTTAGGGCCAAAAAAGGACAGCCCTCCATTACCAGATACCACTTTTGCGACCTGCATTGTTCTTGCCCCAGTTCTGGCACCTTATCATTTTATTAAGGACCTTGCTGTGTTTTTACCAACTTATTACCTGAAATGATAATACAGCATGTCTGTTTGCTGTTTCAAGACTGTGATATATTTTCCTAGTGGTTTGGTTTTAAAAATAAATAAGACTTAATTTTTCTTCAAAAAAAAAAACATGATTACTTCACATAGTTTCAGAGTGTCATTTAAATGAAAAAAGTTACATATCTAAAATGATGAAATTATTACAGCATGGTAATAATATCTTTCGTAAAACATGAAGTACATCATAATGCCTAATCCTACTTAAATGTATCATGGAAATTTATTCTTGAAAGCTGGACTGAAAACTTTCTAGGTTCAGCTGCCATTTCTTAAGTGCAATCTGTATTTTCATAATGCCTCTTTTATGATGTTGACATACTCAAAATGTTTAAGCAATAAAGCATTAAGCAATAAATTTAAAACCTGTATTGGAATAGTACAAATAATATACATAAATCTACAGAAAGGACTTCCACTAAAAACTTATAACTTCATAAATATATTCTCCAAAAAATAACATGACTGATTAAATCAAATGCCTCATAAAATGTAAGCACTCTGAGCAATTATAACTTTATAATTGTGTTTATGTATTTATGTATGCAAATAGCTGCAACAATTAAAATTACACAAATTTCCTGAATATTTTACTCCTTTAAAAACCTAGCAATGTGACAAATTACTTAATGCCTTCAAAACCTAGACAAAATTAAACTAAATACTTCTGATACACTCTCTAAAAACAACTCCCCCTCACTTCCCCTCTACATGGTCTAATTTCTTCCTTTTCTCTTATGTCATATTCTCTTTGCTTCGATGTTTTCACTTTTTCTTATGGATTTTTCCTCCCTAACCTACAAAGTGTCCATACCAAGGTGCCATCCACACTTCTGCATCATCTCACGCAGTCAAATTTAAATATGCCCACCATCAAGACAATTAAGTTCCTAAGTATGCCCCTCTGTGGCTTCCTCCTGAAATATATATCCCTTTCCCCTCACTGGCAAATGGACAGAAAATGTAGCACTTGGTGAGGGTCCATCTGATCCAGCCTCAGCACCTACACAGGTACGTAAGCTGCTCAGCGTTGGAACAAAAGCACCACCAGCTTAAGCTGCGTCTGTTGGCAATAATACGATGACTTTAAGTTTTCCCTGGTAAAGCCTAACCTGTATCTAAACCAGATTCTGAACGCTTTAAGGTCCACTATTCACCTAAATTGAAAACTACTTCTTTAGCACTGCCCTCCTATCTCTACTCAGCCCAGAAGTATCATCCACACAGCTCAGAAAAAAAATTCTGTTGTGAACTAAATTGTATGAAACATGGTACTCCTTAGGTATTTCTTAAAACACTGAGTTGATATTTTCTTCTTAATTTGCAGGATTATTTTAAATGTAAAGACTTGCACTGAATTCACTGAACCACTGCTGAAGGAGTATCTCATATGAATTCATGACATAATTACAGAGGTGGAGGGATAATGGCTCACAATTTTAGAAAATTTTTATGAAATGTAGTATTTTTCCTAACCATTCAAGGTAGTGACTGACAAGGCAACGACAAGTGATTCTTACATAGTCCCTGGAAAAGGTCCCTCTCATGGTATATTTCCATAAAGTAAACATACTATGCTTGTACAATGAGAAATAAATGAACAAAAATTGACCAGAGGTAAAAAGGAGAGTATTCTTAGATGGACTAGTGTCTGGTTGTATCTGATCTAATTTAAAGACAATAGGAACTATCAATCCCCATAACCTAATATAAATATCATTAAAGGACAAATTTTAGGTGCATATTATTTTTGTGCTATGGGAAAATACAAGTTCAATTCAAACACATGCAACCATGTTTTAATTAAACTTCATAAATATAAGAAAATCTTGCTAGTAATACTGATAAATAGCTAACGTGGACCACTATTATTTTAATTCCAGTACACTTCAGAACTTTAAAGCCTCCAAACAAGAATATATACCACTTTACTTTTATTTTCAGCCCTCATTCTAGACTGGATTAAAGAACTCTTCCACTGGAAAATGAGAATGGCTTTTGGTTTCAATGGTAAGTGAATAGCATACATTCTTTGATCTCTTTAGACTGATTCTAATGGAGTTGGAATGGGGTGGAGATCACTGAATAGCTTACTTAGAAGTAACTTAGATACACTTCCAGGTACAGCTACTACGAACTATTCATGTGATTCACTTACCACAAACCAAAAAAGAAAACAGCTCAGGATAGTCTGTGGGTTTTTAAGAACATACCCCTAAGAAAAGAAAATCCAGCAAATAATCTTCACTGGAACTAGAGCCATTTTATCATGGACCCTATTCAATAAATTCACCAACTACTCAATCGCTGGGGAAAACGTTCCACTACAATCTTCCTATGAGTTCGATGACAATGAGACAGTCCACAAGAATTTTTAGAATTGTCTATCTGTAGTAAAGGTGCAAAACTCAAAAAGAAATAATGTAGAAACGTAGAGGCAGCTGATAAGTACTGAAAGAGAACAAAAGTCCAAGTAATTCTCCATCAGTTTTTCAAAGGAAACCGCTTAGACAGTTCCAAGAAAGTATTCTAGTACTGACAGGGCCCTTGTGAGACCTGAGGTGATGAATGTGAGAGAATCGTCTAAATTATACCAATGTAAATCTCTTCTGTATTGTTTACAGCTGAGTTTAGAATCCAAACCATAACACAGAAATTTACAACGAAGCAATTAAAAAGTCGAACTGTTATACACTCCTAGCTATCTCTACTACATGCAAAACCATTACTTATTTGCGTACCATCATCCAACTTTAACCACTCATTTAAACTTCCATGTGTACTTCCTTCCATTCAGATCTTGCCCTTTTCCCAGTTGCTACCGAGACAGTTAAAGACAAGCAGTACTGATATGACTGGGATTTCAGCGCTTTCCACGGGTTATGAAAAATGGGGTCTCGAAGCAAACGCCTTGCCTTTAGGCGCTGTGAGTTCTTGGAGGTGGACCAGCGACCCCTCAGCGGGGGCCAGAAGGGCAACACCTTCGGCAGTCCTGGCCTGGGATCCACACGGACAACAGGCCGCAGCCTCAGCCCCTACGGCCGTCGACCGCCAGCTCTGAACAACCGTCCGCCCGCCCGCCTCCCTCCCTCTCCTCGGCTCCCTCACCATCTTCGCCGGCGGCTTCGCTAAGTTGTTGTATGTGGGCCTGAGCCAGGTCCCCGAGCTCCTCCACTCGCCTCACCACACCGGAGCCTGAGGCCGCCATGGCCACAACGGGCGGGTGCGCCTAGTCACGTGACTGCGCAGGCCTTAGGTCACCTGATACCCCGGCGCCGGCGGGGAGTAGGGGGGTGGAGCTCTCCTGACGGGTGGGAGGGGACCCCAGCTCCAAAAGAGGGCAGGCTCAGACCCGCACAGGTTGTTCCGGGTTATTTTCTTCTCGGAATTCTCTCTTCAGAACCCTGAGCAGCAGGCCGACTTTTTAGGGCGGGCGTGACGTCAGGACGCACCTCCCCTCCTCTAAACCAATCGGAAGCCGCCCATGTCCTCACGCTGATCCAATGAGAAGCCAGATCTCTGGGTGCGGGTGGGAGGGGGATTGGCGGGGGCTCTGACTAGAGAGTGCCGAAGTGGCTAACTGGTGTCCGCCCTGTGTCCGGGGCTCCAGCCGCAGTCAATAGAAGCTCCTCCACTCGCCTCACCACACCGGAGCCTGAGGCCGCCATGGCCACAACGGGCGGGTGCGCCTAGTCACGTGACTGCGCAGGCCTTAGGTCACCTGATACCCCGGCGCCGGCGGGGAGTAGGGGGGTGGAGCTCTCCTGACGGGTGGGAGGGGACCCCAGCTCCAAAAGAGGGCAGGCTCAGACCCGCACAGGTTGTTCCGGGTTATTTTCTTCTCGGAATTCTCTCTTCAGAACCCTGAGCAGCAGGCCGACTTTTTAGGGCGGGCGTGACGTCAGGACGCACCTCCCCTCCTCTAAACCAATCGGAAGCCGCCCATGTCCTCACGCTGATCCAATGAGAAGCCAGATCTCTGGGTGCGGGTGGGAGGGGGATTGGCGGGGGCTCTGACTAGAGAGTGCCGAAGTGGCTAACTGGTGTCCGCCCTGTGTCCAGGGCTGCAGCCGCAGTCAATAGAGCAGACAGGAAAGTCTGAAAATAGGACTGTCTGGTTTTGGTTGCCTAAAATATGCAAAGCCTGGGAGACACTGCTTTGGGAAAGATCCCTGGTGTTCCCCCTCCTTGCTGCAACTAATAAATCATTCCTTCTCTGGTTAAAAAAAAAAAAAAAGGACTGGCTCTCCTGGAGAACATTCAAGTCTCTAAGAGGTTACTGTGCGTCTAGGTGGGGACCTCCAAACACTGGTGGAAATTCCCAGTCTAAGCGGTTGAGTGTCGCTTTTTTAAAGTTTAATTTTAGCAGCTGGGTTTGTTTTATTTCTGGTCTGCTTTTTCTAGCTCACATTTAACATGTTCATCATCATCTCACGTCCAATAGTACAAAAATTTTGCATTTACAAAAATTTCTATTGCCATACATCTGAAGACCATGCCTTAAAGCCCTTCGTGTGAAAAGTTCATCCTCTCAACAGTGAGTTTCAAAGCACTCAGGAGTCTACTTCCACTTTGCAGTCCCTATTTTCTTGCCTCTGGTCAAACAAATCTTTAACTCGTTTTTTTCATTTTTCAATTTGACACAGTATATCTTGAATAATCTCCATCCTATCTTCTTTCTTATGAAAGATAGTTTTTTTATTGAATAGAAAATACTAAAAATAGGTGCCAACTAAAAGTTGTCGCTTGTCATCTGTTGCCATTCTACAAGAATGAAGTCACTAGCCACTGTAGTCGCTGACCTTCAACACACTCTGAAAGGAGTTCAGGGTAGAGATCAGAAACGAGGCACACTGTACTCTGGGAAAAACTGCAGAACAGACCTTCAGATAGTTAGATATTTTCAGGAGAAGGTTTTGTGAGCCCAATTTCTTGTGTCTTCTCATTTCTAGAAAACCAGTAAAATCATTAATGGAGACATCTGCTCCTCATGACTAGCAGCAACCTTCTGCCAAAACGTGTACTTGAAAAAAAGAAAAGAAAAAGAAATGAAGAAGAAAAAAAAGTGTACTTGACTGCACATATCCCCCTTCACTAAAATCATATATACACTGACAGTTCCAGTCCAGGCTATAGTCCTCATGAGGCCCCAAATAAAACTTAACTCACAACTCTCACGTTGTGCACTTTTTCTGCAGTTGACATAAGGAAATAGTGTAATTGACCACAATGGCTTTCTAGCTGACCTTTGTAACACCAGTTTCTTCTTCCTTCAATTCTCCCTAAACATAGGGAGCAGGAATCAGGTATTAATTTTGTATCCTCAGGGATTCCTACAGTGCCTGATACGTAATAAATACTCAGGAAAAGTTTATTAATTAAACAAAAATTTCATGTTATCTTGTCAATATATTACTCTCTAATCAGGAAGCTGAAGACCAGGAAAGTTACATTATGTGATCAATGTGGGCTAAAGAATCAAAATTCTTATAAGCATTTGACATCTCAAAATGCCAAACCTCTCTAAGTATATGTATTAAATAAAATTTACAGTTCCAGAGATTCATTAAACAACCATGGACTTTCAGCGGGAAACATACCTGACACTGGGAATTATTGCCCAACTGATAGTAAGTGTGTGCATGTCTTCAGAGAGAACTGGAAGGGATCTGAGAACATATAGTACAGCCCCTCATCTCCGGGTGAAGAAACTGGACAGAATTTAACTATTAACTGCTCCAAATCCTAGAATACGTGATACTGTGATTTGTCAAAAATCATACCAAAGTAAGCATGTGTAGAAGACCCTCACCATAGATATAAACAGCTGACAGCCGGCCCTCACCAATGCACACTGAAGAAAGGGTTTAAAGCCAGAGACCCAGTCCTAGAAAAGAGGAAATGTGAGTAATTTCTCCAATTTTATAGTTAATTATTTCTACTTTAGGAAACCTACAATGCATAGAACAAATACAAATATAATGCTAGATTTTAAAAACTCATTGAAATTAATAACTCATTATGAACCTACCAAAAAGTACCTTCTAAAATAAATAATTGATCTCATTTGGACCATATTCCCTCCCAATAACAGATAAAATCCAATTAGCTAAGACGAAATTAATTTCTGGGGATTTTATAAAAAATACAAGTCTTTTTTTAAAAATTAATTAATTTGTTTGTTTGTTTTTTGGCTGTGTTGGGTCTCCGTTGCGGTGCATGGGCTTCTCACTGTCGTGTCTTCTCCCGTTGGAGAGCACGGGCTCTAGGCGCACGTGCTTCAGTAGTTGTGGCACGCAGGCTCAGCAGCTGTGGCTGGTGGACTCCAGAGCCCATGCTCATCTGTTGTGGTGTATGGGCCCAGCCACTCTGCGGCATGTGGGATCCTCCCAGGCCAGAGATTGAGTCTGTGTCCCCTGCATTGGCAGGCGGATTCTCAACCACTGTGCCACCAGGGAAGCCCCCCAAAAATACAAAGTCTTTCTAAGAATAAATTCTTGATTGCCTCTGAATTACTAGTACTTACAACTTGTACCATTCTTTTGAAACCTTCCCTTTACTGCTTTACATTTTTTGTGTGGGTCTTATTCTTTCATATAAATTTGTCAACCCCCTGTGAACAGGGATTGAGTTCTATTTTTTTTTTTTTTTAGTTGCCACCAGTGACTTGAATGTAACAGGACCTCAGTAAATGAGGTCTTTTTCATTTAATGACCCATTATTGGGTTAGGCACTATAATAGGCACTGGATTTATGGCAGTAAACAAAATAAACATGATCACTGCCCTCCTGGAGCCTGTTACCTAGTGGGAGAAGACAGAGACATAATAATTACACAAATGAATGCATAATTTTAAAACTGTGGAAGATGTTATGAAGGAAAAGAAAAGGGATAATTTGGTTTGAGATATCAGAGAAGTCTTCTCAGAGGAAATGATATTATCACCTAAAAGACAGATAAAATTAGACAGGTGAAGAGAAGGGGTGCATACCAGTCTGTGTCCAGTCAAGAGAAAGAAGCTACATGGTCATTTGAACAGGGAAAGTTTGATATAAAGAATTATTAACAGGGACTTCCCTGGTGGTTCAGTGGTTAAGAATCCGCACTTCCGCTGCAGGGGGCGTGGGTTTGATCTTGGCTGAGGAACTAAGATCCTGCACGCCGCGAGGCACCGCCAAAACAAAAGAATTATTAACGGGATTGAAGTCACAATGGATTGGCTAGTAAGAAGTAAGATAGAGGAATAGCAGAGATAATGGGCAGTCATTACTCCTGGGATAGAGACCTAGACCTTGTTGGAGAATTTCTGGCTGTGGGTAGCTGGCTAGTAGAGTAGTTCACACCAGCGGAACTTGCTGGAACTCTACCCTCTGGGACTTGCTAGAAATCTGCCCTCCAAGTGCTGGGAAAGCTGCTCACGGTGAGGTATCTCACAGGAGGCACTGTGCTACAAAACTGCCCAAGATGGGCACCAGGAGAAGCTGCTGGCCTTGTTGCAGAAGCCTGCCAAGCACAGAACCAGGAAGGAAAACCTTTTGTCTCCTGCAATGTCTCTCTAGCTTCCTCTATTGACAAAGTTTAATATATCAGCTGACAAAAATTATTTAAAGGGCTCATATATTTTTTCACAAAAAAGGACAAATTTGGAGCTGAGAGGCAATAAATATGTGACCAGCACAGTGAAGAAGAACATATCTGGCACAGGGAATAGCATATGCAAAGACTCTGAGTTTGGAAAGAGCTTGGCAGTTTCGAGGGATGAAAGAAGGCCAAAGGCTGCTGGTGCGAGGGTAAAGTAGAGCAAGGTGAGGCTGAAGAGCACATGTAGAGGTTATCTCCTGAGGTGGATGCCTCACCCTCAACCATGGAAATGGACTCCACACCCCAGTGTGAGCCCCCTTCAGCTGTGTCTGTATCAACTGTCTCTATCTTCTGACCATGGCCAATTCCTTTATTCAATTAGGTGGACATAAATTAGTTCAATATTTAATGAGCCCCTACTCTATGCCAGGCACATGTAATGTGGTAATAAACAAGAGAGACCTGCTTTTGTGGAGATAGATTCAGGGATAGATAGATCCAGGGGTAAAAGTCTGACAGAAGCCAAGCCCATCAGATTCTTTCTCCTGGTCATTTGGCACATTTAAGAGAGAAAACTAATCACATCAATGTCAGCACTCGAGTGAGACAAATCCACCTGCTGCTGCAGAGGTTCCTGGGG